CGCAATGATTGAGTTTGGTTACAGTGCTGGCTGGTTGTAATCACACCGATCATGGCAGGAGTTACGTGTCACATAAGGATGGTTGTTGGAGGCCATGATCAGAATGAAGCATGATGGGACAAAGGTAGTCTACTGCATCATGTGAAGATAGTCAGACTGGTCACATCAAATACCACGATCATTTATATTGTAATAACATATCACGGCATGAAGTCAGAGTCATTGACGTCTGATGAATTTATATTGACTGAACTTGATATTGTTCTTTGTCAAATATGACATAACGGTTCTTAGAAGACTCAGGAATGACGCTGAATACAGAAATTGACTTCATTGATCATTTCTTACGTTTCATTTATGTTGGATACAGAAGATCTTTATAAATACAGTCGGAGTCCTCAACTGACTCTTGGAATCAGTCTCAATATGGATTCAGCAGCTGAATAGATCGCCAGTCCCTTGTGCTTGTTGTAAGAGCCAGCTAGTGAGTGAGTGAGTGAGTGAGTAGATGGATTTGTGAGCGAGATAGTGCATGGGTGGATTAGTGAGTGATGTGGGTTTATACTTTTGCTTTATATGGGCAAGGTCATTGCAGGTAACAGAAAAATTGGGTTTCACCCACTGTACCAATGTGGGTAGTGGAACCTGGCTGTGTGTGTAATTAATGAACACTTTAACCGCTGGGCTACAGCACCACTCTCACCCATCTTGAGGACTGGAAGCTTTCTTTTATGGGTGTCACCCATTGTACCCACGTGGAGATTGAAACCTGGCAGTGAGTGTAATTAATGAACACTTTAACCGCTGGGCTATAGCACCACTCTCACCCATATTGAGGACTGGAAGCCTTCTTTTATGGGTGTCACACATTGTACCCATGTGGAGATTGAACCCTGGCAGTGAGTGTAATTAATGAACACTTTAACTGCTGGGCTACAGCTACTCCAGCACATCTTGAGGACTTATATGACCAGACTTACTTTAATTCAGTGAAGAAAGGACGTCAGTTGCTATGAAGGGAGCCTTTCATCAGGTTATCCTGACCCGTGAAGATCCAGGTTAGAACTGATCTTCAGTAACCCATGCTTGTCGTAAGAGGCGACTAATGGGATCGGGTGGCCAGACTCACTGACTGGGTTGACACATGTCATCATATCCCAATTGCGTAGATCGATGCTCATGCTGTTGATCCCTGGATTGTCTGGTCCAGACACGATTATTTACGGACCAGCGTCATATAGCTGGAATATTGGTGAGTGGTAAAACTCAACTGACTCACTCACTCACTCAGGTTATCCTGAATGCTCAGTACAAACATGTAAATTTATAATTGTGTCTTTACAATAGGCAAGTCAAGACAAGCTAGAGTGTACCAATGTCAAGTCTTTCATTTGGACACCTTGTTCATAATAGTAATAACAGTGTAGGAAAGATGTAGAAAATCTAGCCTGTCCACAGGACTGGCCGGTCAAATTTTTTACCAGTCCTGCCAAAATCTAGCCTGTCCTCCAAATATAAATGAAACACCTTCGGCAGTAAATATTCAAAAAGGTTATAATCATTATATATATGTCATTGGTTTGCTAAAATTGACCCGACATGAGGACGGACTAGATATTTTTTTAACCCGTCCTCCACAAAATTCACCCGTCTCGGACGTTGTATCTTTCCTACACTGGTATACCAGTTGAACATCATGTGCAACACCTCATCTTTTGATGTTGATAATGAACCTGTCATCAAAGCTGTGGCAATTGCCTGTACAGAGTTGTCTCCCTTAGGCAGGTCAGAATCCTCTGATCATGAGTTTAATAATCTAGGAATCAATCGTATTTCTTCATATACTTTAGCAAGTCTATTTTGAAGGCTACAATGAATCTTTCATCCGAAGCTGACTTGCTTCACAGCTGAACTAAATGATAAATCCATGGATGTATTGCAGTTATTTCCTTTCAAAAGTCCAGATTAGCAGCTAGTAATTATGATTTAAACTAATGAAAGTTTCTTTTGAGACTTGTGCAAGTCTAGCCCCATACCAGAATCCAGAGTCTTTGTCAATTTTGTTCACTCCAGGAAGATCAGCTTTTGACTGTCTGTATAATAGCAGTAAGACCAACTGTGACTGATGCTTAAAGTCAATTTTGAATTGTGGCTCCGAAGCGTTTCCCTGGGGCTGAGAATGTGTAATTTGTTTGGTCCTTTCTGTTGCATTATTCCCATATCAAACACTGCAAGCCTTTCACAGTGGACCGCCTCCATGGTTGAGTGGATAAAGTGTCATCCCCGGAGGCAGAATGTTAGAGTTTTGAGTGAGTGAGTGAGTATGGTTTTACTCTGCTATTAGCTATATTCCAGCAATATCACGGCAGGGGACACCAGAAATGGGCTTCACACATTTTACCGATGTAGGGAATCGAACCCGGGTCTTAGGCATGATGAGAGGACGCTTTAACCCCTAGATTACCCCCACTGCACCAGGAAATCTAGGCTACCATTAGAGGTTTTATCCCTGCTGGTAACTAGCCTGGCATCCACCATTTCACTTCAAAGTCAAAATTTATTGTTTCAAATTTCAAATAGCTTTCATGGTTAAGTGTAAGCTCCTACCTACACCCTTAAACAATAATCTCCATGGAGATAAAGGTGGGTTTGATTAATCGTGTCCTGAATGTCCCTAATTGTTTTTAACCGATGTTCATGATATCAGTCACTGGATTGTCTGGTCCGGGCTTGATTATTTACAGACCGCCGCCATATCTTCATGGTTAAGTGTTAGCTCCTCAAAAACCTACACCCTTAAACAATAGTCTCCATGGAGATAAAGGTGGGTTTGATTAATCGTGTCCTGAATGTCCCTAATTGTTTTTAACTGATGTTCATGATACCAGTCACTGGATTGTCTGGTCCGGGCTTGATTATTTACAGACCGCAGCCATATCTTCATGGTTAAGTGTAAGTCTTCGAAAACCTACACCCTTAAACAATAGTCTCCATGGAGATAAAGGTGGGTTTTATTAATCGTGTCCTGAATGTCCCTAATTGTTTTTAACTGATGTTCATGATATCAGTCACTGGATTGTCTGGTCCGGGCTTGATTATTTACAGACCGCCGCCATATCTTCATGGTTAAGTGTAAGCCCCTCGAAAACCTACACCCTTAAACAATAGTCTCCATGGAGATAAAGGTGGGTTTTATTAATCGTGTCCTGAATGTCCCTAATTGTTTTTAACTGATGTTCATGATATCAGTCACTGGATTGTCTGGTCCGGGCTTGATTATTTACAGACCGACGCCATATAGCTTGAATATTGCAGCGTGTGGCGTTAAACAATAAACAAGCAAATCATTGTGGAAAATTTTGATTTTTGTGGGGATATTTGAATATTTACACAATAATGATGCTATAATACAGCTGGTTCATGCAGATTCTCTCACTGCACAGATATAATTGCAGCGAAATGTACCAGTTATAGATGTAGAGTATAAAAATTGAGTTATGTCATACTTCACATATTAACTCCAACGTGTGTTATCAATCATTTAAACACATTTTATATAAAATTTCACTTTTATGTTTAAAACTGTGAAATGAATAGCTCTTTTCTCTTGAGCAGTTCCTGAGTTTCTACCTCCCCTGGGCTATCACAACCTATTTCCTTCCATCCTTGTTTCTTCCTTCTTCTGTGACATTTTACAGGCAGTATTTCTTTTGATTTTGAGGGAATTCTTCCTTTCATATTGTGCAAGTTGTCAAGCTTTGTCAGTCTTCCCAGCATGCATTTGGTGACATTTCCCTACAAGCTTCATCTTTGCTCATTTTGTGATCAAAATTCATCATACTGACACATAAGAGACATTTGTCTGTCCCAGGGAGACACGTGAGATAATGATCTCACGCCATGGAGCGTCTCTCAACTGATTTTAACTCCTATCGACTTGTAGAAGGTGCTCATTTATTAAACAGGAAGTAATTGAAGCAGTCATGATGGCACTGACACAGTATGGAACATTGTTAATGACAGCTGATTATGGCCTGTTTAAAGACTTGCAATGTGTTTGGTCTCAGTCATGCATGAGCGATTGTCTCCCTTTACTAGAACTCTTGCTGTCAGTCCATTGTGAACTGCACATGAAGTGTGTTATGGCACGTGTTGAGGAATGTAGCCCTGATTAGATTCCGGTCAGTGAATAAAAGTGATCAGTTTCTGGATTAATGCATGTTGTACTGATCTTCAAGATAGGTAATAAAACAGTATGACGAGAAGCCATTTGGCTTGAATGACCCCCGCCTTTCGATCTGATTGCTGACAATCGTTCTTTTTGTCAGCGTGTTTATAGAAGCGAGGTCATTATGATCTCAGTGCAGACTTAAAGATGGAAATATGTTTTATTAAGTAAATTCCAGCTTTGAATTGTTGAGTGTTGAAAATACTGTTTATAATCTCAATGACAGTATGTCAATTTGGCTCTCCCATTTTGAAGCTCATCAAAAAACATAGGAACATTTTTAAATTATACTTCAAGCTGACATTATCACCTTTCATTGTAAAGAATTCAATAAACAGCATGTTGTTGTTTGCATTGCCGAGGAGAAAACATACTTCTGTTGAAGAAACCTAAGCTATGCTTCAAGTTTCAGGTGCACTTTTGCAGAAATCCATTTTAATCTTCTTGTGAGCCTACGTCAAACATGTTGTCAGTTGTCGATCATCAGGTTTTACATGTTGCCATCCTGTCGCCTTCTGTAATTCTTGAAGAACTGTGATGCTTAGCTTGATGATTTTTGCTATAGTGTTTCCTGACAATCCTGATTTTAACACTTGGCCTCCATGGTAGCCACCTTGAAATGCATACTTTGCCATTAATTGATTGTGGAGGTATATATTATAAGTTGTATGCTTCTCTCCAGGGTAATGATGGACGCCTGCTTGTAGCAGTGTCACCAGAGCTGGTAGGCGAGGGAAGACACTGCTACAAAAGGCATACATCAGCCCATATTACCCGAGGGAGATGCATGCAACATATTTATCTTAACGCCATGTTAAATGCACAAAATATCATTTTATTTTATTTTGAAGATTGCTCCCGACTATTTGACATGTAACCAGAATGGCGTCAGCCTCTTAACTTAACACTGCTTTAAAAATGGTTAATTATGTTAAAGTTGAGTGTGCAAGCCATTTAATGTATAGAGACATACTTCTCTCTGGAGTTATATGTGATGTCATGTGATTCTGTGACAACCAGAACAACCTCTATGATTTTCCTAAAAGGACTTTGCCTTTGGTTTAAAAATGTTATGGGCTTGAAAATGATTGCAGATGAATAAAACACTTTCTTGTTAATAATCTTAATCTTAAACTTTGACCATTAACAGGACAAAATACACAGTAACCTGTTCAAATCATTCTTAATTAGAACATTTTTGTAGGTATTGTAAAATGTGAATGATTGTTTGTGTTGAGAGAAATGGCAGCAAATGGGTAATTAAGTTGTCATGATGATGAATTCAAATCGTATTTTCTCAGTCAGACATAAACTTTGTTGGTAATAAAACTTCTGCACATGCAAGCAGCACAGAGTTATTTTTGATAATTATATGTGAATTGCATATGTTTGCAGTCACTGCTACATTGTGAACAGAATGTTGCCAAAAAAATAATGTTTACACTATATGTTCAATTAATATTTGTGCTGTATCCATTCTAGCACATGATTTTCATGTTTTAAACATTTGAAGTTTAGAAAACTAAATGCATACCATACAAACATACATGAAGAATGTCAAAAAGCCAATAGCATGACTTAAACACTGTATAATTACGAACAATTAGAAGTGAATGGAAACACGATTAAAATTGAGGTCTTTAAAAGAAATATCTACTCAGCGGCGCGTAAAAATACCCAATAGCCCGGTGTACAAATATACTCAATACCCTAAGTAAGTAATCAGTGTGAATGACAGTGTAAGTAGAAGCTTGAAACTTAATATGGAGACCAGTTTATACAGAGTGCACAATTATTGTTGTGTTAGGGTTTGTTTAGCAGGTTTTGTTGTCCTTTGAGTGAGTGAGTTTAGTTTTACGCCGCATTCACGAATATTCCAGCTATATGGCGGCGGTCTGTAGATAATTGAGTCTGGACCCAACAATCCAGTGATCAACAGCATCAACATCGATCTGCACAACTGGGATACAATGACATGTGTCAACCAGGTCAGCGAGCCTGACCGCCCAATCCTGTTAGTCGTCTCTTACGACAAGCATGGGTTACTGAAAATCAATTCTAACCCGGACCTTCATGGGTCTTGTTCCTTTGAACCATGATCACTTTACCTTTGTATTTAAAGGCAAATAACAGGATATGCTTCTCCATAAGTAAACGTATTTAAATCTATAACCTGTTGTTGATGTAACAAATGTTCTATCTGAGATGACACTTTCTCAGTGAAGTACAGATTGTAGTGCCATCCATGATTCGAGAGTCAGAGTCAAGCACCTAATCACCACAAACTCATCGTTTTAACCCACTCAGCCTCCGCATCTTCCACAAAATGGAAGTCGGACAGCTGGTTGTCCAGACCATGCTAATGTTAATCTGCTGCATATCACAATATATCCTGTTCATATACCTCTGATTGCTTAATTAGTCACTCCTGCTTGTTAACGATGTAGAAATCTATATTGAAACCTTGCTTAATACAGTATCCCACAAGTTGTTGTCCATTAACTTGTATATTTTCTCATGTTGCAAATTGTTGAGAAAGTATTTTTGACGATGGTTGCTTTTTGACTAAAGTTGCTTTCATTCTGAGACGAAGCACTTTTCATACTAGATGAATATCTTCATATTATGTTTATCAGGCCTACCTGAAAACTTTCCCACGGTGCAGAAAAACGCAGGAAAGCCCACATTAATTGTGGAAATAGCAACATAAACCTAATACCTCGCTACTGAAACAGTAAAAGCGGCAACTTTAAATCGCTAAAACTGGATAAAAAAAACCGAAGAGCCTGCAACTTCGATTTTGCGCATGCGCACATGGAAGAGGAAGTCTTGACCGCATGTTGACATTTTCTGGCTTGGACAAAAGTTACATTCCCTTTTTAAAGTATTTCTGTTGTGTTATTTGGCATTTATCATCATCATACTTGTGTGCACACTTGTTTAGTTTACCTTCCATTCGTATGAAATGATTGACAGCAATTATTTCGACATATTCAGTACTTTTTCTACGCAAGGCGATTCAAGGCTGCTCAGAAATTTGAAAGAAGCGCAGATCGTAATGCTTATGTGCAGTAGAGAACACAGTTCGCTGACATAAAAATGTTGCATGTTCATAGTTTTTCGTTGCCGTTTTTTACTGTTTCAGTAGCGAGGTATTATGTTTATGTTGCTATTTCCACGATTAATGTGGGCTTTTCTGCGTTTTCTTTGGTAGGCCTGTTTATGATATTGTAAATATCTAAAACTCAAATGACACCAACATCAACATAAGACCAAACTCACTCATGGCGGCATCTTGTATGTCATCATAAACTACCCTTGGTAATTCAGTGTATCAAGATAGGTCATTCAAATTCATTGTCGATTCAGATTTCATTTTACAGCTTTAATATAGCAACAAAAAAAGACAAAAGATTTGATTTGATGCTGATAAAAAATCATGCCATGATTCCAGGAATTCTGTTCCTCATAAGTGTCATCTACTGTGATCTAATTGACTGATTGCCTTCTGGTGGTCCAGCTGTCTAAGTGATTGAGTTTGGTTACAGTGCTGGCTGGTTGTAATCACATTGATCATTGATGACAGGAGTTACGTGTCACATATGGATGGTTGTTGCAGGCAGTGACAAAGGTATTCTCCTGCATCACATGAAGACGATCACAATAGTTACAATCCATTTGAGTTCATTTGAGACCGGGTTGGTGGGGTAGCCTAGTGGTTAAAGCGTTGGCCCGTCACGTCGAAGACCCGGGTTCGATTCCTCACATGGGCACAATGTGTGAAGCCCATTTCTGGTGTCCCCAGCCGTGATATTGCTGGAATATTGCTAAAAACGGCGTAAAACTAAACTCAGTCAGTCAGTCATTTGAGACCAATGAATTGCTCACTAACACAAAATCTCAAATTAAACTTAAGAAAGTATGTTTCTGAGTATTATGTTTGTTAAATCAAGACATATACAACTAATGCAGTTTCCTGATGTGAAAACATCCTCACGTCCCAACAGGAAGTAGCCTCGATCGTCTTGACCGTAATAATCAGCGCCTGTTTCGTTTACACAATGTTATGATTGTGTCCCATTACAAAGGGGCTTGTAACGCTAAAAACTGCAATCAAGGCATATACTGTCACTGACGGGGTCTTAGTACTATATAAAAGGGGCTTGTAACGCTAAAAACTGCAATCAAGGCATATACTGTCACTGACGGGGTCTTAGTACTATATAAAAGGGGCTTGTAACTCTAAAAACTGCCATCACGGCATATACTGTCAGTATATGCCGTGATGGCAGTTTTTAGCGTCAGTATATGCCGTGATGGCAGTTTTTAGCGTTACAAGCCCCTGTGTCCCATTATTGCTCAAATGAGTTTCGTAGTTAGGTTTATGATTACAATCGATTATTGACCGATTACTGAGCTCCGATTATCGATCTTCATAATGTGAGCGATAACCAACACTAGTTAAGTATCAATACTCCCAACTATAGTGTGTAGAGAGTATCTGCAGTTCATTGATGCCATTGCTGGCAGCTTCATACCAAAACAGGGGGTGGTGGGGTAGCCTACTGGTTAAAGCGTTCACTTGCCACGCTGAAGATCTAGGTTCGATTCCCAATATGGGTACAATGTGTGAAGCCCATTTCTGGTGTCCCCCTGCCATTATACTGCTGAAATATTGCTAAAAGCTGATGTAAAACTCACTCTCACTCACTCATACCAAAACATGGTACTTATTGGTACCATGCCTGCCCTTTATCATAAAGGTGTTATAATACGGAATAGCTTAGAATCAGTATACTGTGTTAGTGTCAGGTGTCCTTGTGAAAAACTTAGTTTCTCAGTGGTCTAGCACCATTAAACCAACATTTGCCAAGACTAATGCAAGCATCCACCCATAAACTCATGCATGCACACTGCTCCACAAGTGCAATCATCTTAAAAATGTGTTTAACGCAATTTCACTTCACAACCAAAATAGTAACACTCAAAACCTCAGAAATTGTTTTCTGAAAATGACCCCGTGTTGAATGTTTGCCAGGATGTTCATACAGTTTATTTCTAGAGTTTGCACGCACCATCTAAAACTTTGTTTGATCCATTTAATGGTCTGGTGGGTTCTTCATGTTTCATCAAGAGAGCAATCCCTTGCCTCATTATATAACAGCGTTTTGATTCTTTCAGCATGGAGATAGACATTTCGGTCTGCTGTTTTAGTGGAGTGTTTGTCTGTAGGTTGTCATTGAATTAGTATATCTGTGGGCCATGATGGTTGGTTCTTGTGCAGGGAGAATCAAGTGGGAAAGGATAATGTTTTTCTCACTCTATGCTTCACAACCTTTTCTAAGGATGTTTAGTGAAAATTCTGTGTTTTCAATCAGTTATGCAGTCTGTGCCAAAAACTTCTGAATCTGCAATCCTGAACTCGTATATATTTTGAGCAGATCTTAACTTGAATATATTCTGTAGCAAAGCTTTTTTCACTTGAGGAATATTTCATGGTAAAGTCACAGACATGAAATAAATACAGAACCATAACCTAAATTCGTGGATAACCTTGATTCGTGGATCGCGGAAATTATTATGCCAGCTCGTAAATTAAGTCTCGACTGATGTCACGAAGCGGTACTTTTAATGTACATACAATGCCACGCCTCGCTGAGAAAAAAGTTCTGAATTTCTGCATTACACACAAGTACACTAAATGTAATTGTCCATCATTGAGACAAATAGCCCCAGATCACTAATACCACCATTGCCAAATTTTATTTTTACAAAATGTCAAGTAAAAAAGATACCGTTAGCTCCAACCTTCTCACTTATCGTTGTCTGCTTTCCTTGGTGTCAATCGTTACTGCAGTGGGATGTCGTACACAGTGGTATAAAGTAACCGACTATGTAATCCACGAAACAAGGTGACGTCACATTTTTTGGGCACATGAATGGGTGATGATCAAACATTTCATTCACGAGTGGAATATTAGGCATTTTCAATTTGCTGAATCAATGAATGAAATAATCAGTGCGTATACAAAATGAAATCTTGCATTTAAAATATGAATTCTGCCGCACTTCCCTTATATCCAGGAGTCAAGGTTACGCAAGTGTATTATCTACCAGTGTTTAAGCATGTCAAGAGTATTTTAAAGTATAATTAAAATAGGAAAAGAAATACATAAAAAACAGTAGGGGGTTAACCAGAAATAAGTAAAATTTCAGAAAACTCACTCATTTAATATCTTTATTGATATAAATATTTATAAATACTAGGATTAAAAGTTGTTGAAAATTTATCCTAAAAACTGCAAAACATGACTTTTGCCAAATCCCAACTTTTATCTTTGTTTTTGCCCATACCTTTGTAAGATTTCGATGAAATCAACAACAAATTTGAATAGGTTTATCTATTTATGTATTTTTGTACAATAGGTTTCATTTATATTGTTCTTCAACTTACCAACCGAAATCTAACAGTAAACAACAAAGAGTGTCTGGATTTATTAATTAGCACAAACAGGTTCAGTAGTTATATTCCCTAGCAATCTCTGAGTAGTATATATATGAAAGCCTGAAAAATATGAATGTAGAGAAAAGCCAACAGAGATTTTCCACGAAGGTAAACAGGGGAAATTAGCTTTCTGTTGAATAAACATTGTAGTAATACCACAAAAACAAACTGTTGAGTCGTCAATTACAATCTCAAGTGAAACATACATGTAGTTAATGTTTATACTGATACATATATGCCCTTTTGACTGAGTCTTTTTAACCATTAAATACGTCCTATCAAGCAGTATATATATTCCAGTACATACACATCTATATCTCCCAGGAAATAAACAGTGTGTATTACATTACTTCTGTCTTTAAACATTGTTAAATGAACTGTTACGTTGTTATGTACAAAATTTTATTCACTGAAGTGATTATATCCGAGTTTTATGCTCTTGGTGTTTATTGTGATTAGCTGCTAAAGTGGTGGAAGTAATATTTCTTTGTGTAAGAGGTTGAGTTCAAAGAATTTTTATTGTTTGTGAAAGGAGCAATAATGTTGTTAACTACTCCGGTGCAGTAAGTATGATTGTATGACTTGTCATTAACAGGAAACTTACTAAGGTCGAAGAATTATGCATGTCAATATGTCACTGAGTGAGTTTATTACTACTATAAAATAAATGCAGTTATATTAAGCATCATGTTACTGTGGAAGTTTTGCTGTCTTAGTGATGCCAGGTTGCATGGAAATATAGAACTAATGCTTACTTGCATAGATCGATGCTCATGCTGTTGATCACTAGATTTTCAGGTCCAGACTTGATTATTTATAGACTGACACCATATAGCTGGAATATTGCTGAGTGCGGCGTTTAACAACAAACCAACAACGAACGACTGACTAAAATATAAACTCAGATTTGAACACTTGGTGAGCAGATCCTGGCAGGGAAGAGACCCAAACTCTGCATTGTCAATTGAGAATCATTAGAGCACTCGACCATTTGTACCCAACAGACATTTCAAATGAACTGGCCTTTCAAGGATTTTAATCAAAATCAGCTGGATATATATACACTTCACCAGCAGATCCTGGTAGGGAAGGGACCTAACTCTGCATTGTGAATTTATAATCACTACTACAAGGGGCTGTTTTTACCCAACAGACATTTAAAGTGAACTGACCTATCAAGGATTTAAATAAAAATTATCTGGTATTCAGCACCCTTCCAACAGAT